TTTCTAGAACCACTTAAGGTTTCTTCTGTAATCTTAATCAAACATATTTCTGCTAAACGTAGCAGTGTTTTCTGCTCATTCATTGTTTAAAGCTGTATGCATCGAAATTTTGTTTTGTATACACTCTGTGTATACAAAATGACAATAAAGTTTGTTTAAGTCTAAGTTGTTATGGAGCTATTGCTGCAACTCTATGGGAGCAGGCCATTTCTGAAGCTTTTGCTGACTTTTTCTTTGTTGGAGAAATGCAACTATTTTTTGTTATTTTTTTCATAAAAAAATCTCTTCACAGTTCATTTGGATTTGGCTGCATTTATTTTTTCACAGATGAAGGCATTGAAGGAACTGCTGCCACTGGCTATGTGTGAAAGTCCACCCCTTGGTTCTGTGGTCTTAAACCTTGTAAACTTTGGTTTTCCTTACCCTCATTTAAAATACAACCCGTTGTTTCTGGGCTATTTTCTCCATCTTCTCCCTCTCTTCTTTACTCCAAACTGTAGCTTTTTCTCCGTTTAAACTGAAAAGATTGTTTCTAGAATCAGAATCATCTTAAACATCCAAGCTTGTGAGCACATACAAGGGATATAACTTTGTTTTTTTCTGTGCTCACATCATAATTAACAGTACAAACAACAACCACAATATGTCGAAATATGTTGGATAAAAGCTAGATTTTTTTAGTAATTGGAAACGTGCAACTAAAAAAAAAAAAAAAAAAAAACAGAGAACATTTTCAGCTGGGAATTCCTCTATACAGAGTCTATGTATGAGCATCACCTCAAGTAATAGACTGGATGATTCCTGGGATCCAGAAGTGCTCCGCAGTACAAACAATGTTTCTGAAAATGTTGAAGGATGACAATGTGCTCCAGAAATCCACCCTGATCTCCACTGTTTTTGTCACAGGACAGAAGAACCCAGCATTCAAGACGAGACAGAGTGGGATAATTCAAAGCGTTTATTTAAAAACTCCATGTTAGTCACTAACCTGATTTAACAGTTCAGTCCATCTCCATGGAACAAGGTAGGATCCAGCCGGTGGGCTATGGCTGAGATGTGGCGGGCACCGCTCAGAGTGTCCCAGATGCTACAGCCCTGGATAACATGCAGGAGTCTGAGCCAGGTTAGGGAAACACATCAGAACAGGAACAGGCTGTTTCAGGGTTCCAGGAATCCACAAACAGTTCAGGCAGAACGTTCAGATGGGAACAGGCCACTTCAGTGGATGAGGGACAAATCAGATCATGATCAGGAAATTAGAACCACTATGGTATTCTTAAAACCCTTTCTCCACTGACCCCTGAGAATGACAACAAGATAATCTGGCCCCCAATAGCTGGATGAAAGAACATTAAATAGAGCAGAAGAAGGATGATCAAAAAAGTGGTAATGAGCAACCGGGCAAAGTTGGACAGGTGAATGGAATGAGCAATTAAGCCAGCCGTCAGCGCCAAGATCATGACAGTTTTTAACTGATGGTCCTGATCAGCTAGTCCTTGTGACCACATGCTATCTCTGCATGAAGGATTACTGCAGAACTGATAGCTTGGTTTGGTAAAATGGGATTCCCTAAATTGAAGCAATTATGTTAAATTTTTCTACCGAATTTGAATCGCACAAACTAGATGGATTAAAACTGATTTAATACAAATTGTGTCTTAGTTTGATTGGCTTGTATTATAAAGTATCATGAGAGATAAAATTTATGTTGTGGCATAGGCAAAATGTTACATGGTTAACAGTTACACGTATTTTTTTGCCTCTGAAAATAATGAGTTTCTGAGTTCAATTTCCAAAAAGAAATATTGCTAAATTTTACTCCTAACTCCTTAACAATGTGAGCCAGATTTATTCAGCAGGCTGAAAGTTGACTGAGTGGCAGCAGACTGGGACTGGCTGTTTCAGATGGTAATATAAAGTTAAAAGAAAGGAACAACCCGAAAAGCAAACAGAAATCAAATGTTTGTTCTTTATATTACGAGGAACTGGTAAAAAGAAATAAACTGGAAGAGAAACTATTTTTTTTAGGAAATTAATGATACCTGGGGGAATTTATTAGACAATAGGGTAATTCCGTGTTTCTTTGATCGCTGGAGTAAAGGGCAGCCATTAAAAACTAGTTTAAAAACATTTAACCAACATCAGGTGTGAACTGTTCACCTAATTGCATTTTCAATTAAATATACTGTAACGGCTAATCTAGTTTTTAACAAAAGCAAACCTGGGAAAATGTCCTCACACTGTGATATGTTAATTCTGAATTTAAAAGTATAAAGCAATTAAAACATGTAAAAAAACATGTCATCATTTCACGTCGCCAGTTACTTTTCTGGTTGTTTTTTGACATATGATGTTATTGTGGGCTGCAAAACGTTCATGATGATATAAATCTCCCTCTTTGTAATATGAAGCATGCTAAATAATGTACATGCAAATTCAGTTTTATCAGCGGTGTTTAAATTGTCTGAGGGTGAACTGACTGCACAATGTCAGTCAAAAGGCACTTGTCAGGATTCATTATCCATAGTTCTGAGCACACACATAATCAGCTATGGCTTACAGCGGTGGGTAACCTTGAAAGGACTCATTAACGTCCACTCATCAACCGGCCAAGTCCAAGTGTTTTACAGAGAGAAGATGCATCTTTGTGGTGTGGGAAAGCAAAGTCAATGAAGCTTTGTTAAGGATTGGAGTTTAACCTCACTGCACTGACATGGTGGTGGGACTGACAAAGTGTTCCAAGCATTAAAGTGCTGTGAAAAAACTCTGTCAGCAGGTTTTACAGAAGCTGTTTCTTTGTTAGAAACTATCCTTTTCAAAGCATTACCTGGAAAATACATGATTCTCTTTTAAGACACTGTTATAGTGCTTCTGAGCATATAATGGGGAAATTAGGTCATAGTGTTAAGATACAAGCAGAACTCCTAAAAATACATTTGAAAATAACCAACTGCTGGACAAATTAATGCAACAAAACTGCATGAATGCTTTATTTCATTTTAAAGCCTGTTATGAAGAATAACATAAATAATAATTAATAATATTTCTGAATATATTATTTTTCTGTGGTATATCAGCGTGTAAGATTATAAAAAAAACCACTGTCATATAAAATCTTACTATGAGTTGCGGCTCAATGAATCATATTATAAAAAGTTTTTTTGGTAAATAATGTAATAATAAAAAAAGAATGAATGTATTATAAAGTGATTGCACATAGAATGATCATTTGTCCACAAACTAATTACAAATAATCTTAAATACAGAAATGCCCTGTCATTAGGGCTATACATGGATCAAAAGGAAGACATCTCAGCAGACTTCTAACTGCTGGAATAAACCAAAAGAAGTTGTTAAAAAGAAATGAACCAGTCACAGAATGCTGAATGAAGCATGTTAACAGAAAACTGAGTGGAAGGAAAAATGTTTGTAGAAAAAAATGACAGGCAACAACATCATGGCTGATGGAGAAAAATGTCATTCTTACCAAATCCATTCTGGATACTGGGACTTTCAGACTTAAAGAATTTGACTTTCAAAAATTATTTGATCATAAAAAAATAGCTTTGGAAAAGTGAGAAAAAATGAGAACAACCATTTCTCTCATTAGCCCAGATTCATTTGAAAAGAATCAGTTTAGGATGAAAAACTTGTAACTCCCCCAAACACACACTCCAACAGAAATCTGTAAGCCATTTCCCCTTTCATTTAACTTTCTTTTAATATTTCTGGGATCATTTTAAACAGCCAGCTTCTTCTGTAGCATCATTTTATGTCTAATGCTAGGTGTCAGTGACTGTCTGCAATCTGTCAAATCAGCAGATAAAAGAAATGACCGTTAAAAGGATTGGAAATACTTATCAATAAGCCCACATTGCTGAGCTCCAAGCATTGCAAATCATCTCCAACTGTCTTTACTCCTAAATCCTATCAAATATATTTCTACTACTGCTACCTTTTTTTTTTTTACCACACTTCTTCCTTCCACCCAACTTTCAACTAAATATGCAGATACATTTTGTAAAAAGCCAGCCTTTTGAGGCAGTAGGTGACAATGACCGCTTGACAGCTGTGATATCAGCTGATTATGTGGTTATATCATAATTTATCTGCACTGTAACATTTGAACTTTTCATTCGCTGTAATCACAAAAAAACAAAACAACAACATATTACTGGAAATGTAAAGCATCTATAATATTCATCACTTTTGAACTAAATGATGAAATGGATCACCTGTAGTGTCCTCCTTCCCTTTGTTAACGATAGAGCATCAAGGCTATGCATCTTGATGCTCTTTTTCTCTGGTTCTTTTCCCTAAAAGGAGATCACTTGGGACAAACTCTTTAAATAACACTTCATAACTTATATGTATTAAATAACCAGGAGACATACAACAGTTTCTGATAGAAGTTGTTTAGAGTTTACAGAATGGAAGCTGCTCACCTCCGGGCTCACCTCTCAGGAATTTGGCATGATTAACAGCTAAAAAGGCATTTTTTCTTTTTTCTTTTCTTTCTTTCTTTATTTTTATATATAAAAATATAAAATAAAAAAAATACAATAAATAAATAAATAAAATAAACATAATTTTAAAAAAAGCATTTTATACATCTCCAGTCTGCCACATCATCTTATTTCACATCATACATGTTAGTAGATGATTAGACATCCACGGCTCCAGCCTCATCAAAATATTACACTTTGTTCTTAGCTGAAGCACACTGCTCTCATTCCATTCCCAAATCTTTGAAATGAGAGTGAAGATTATAACTGTATGTGCAGACAGAGGAACTGTTTTAATTAGATTAACTATTGTGGAAAACATCACTTCCGACAGGCAGCCAATGCCAAGGTATAATAAACTCACACATCTTCAATGATAAATCATTATCCTAACATCTTCCATTCAACATTGAATGAAACTGGGCCCGCAGTAGCAGCTGTTAAACACCAGAGGCGCTGTTTTTCATGCACCAGATAGTCACATGTAACAAATGAAAAAGAGGAAGATCAGGAAGTAAAATCCGGAACAGGGAAAACTGAAAGAAGGAGGCAGAAAGTTAAAAACATGCTGTACAGACAAGCTTTGTTACATATCTATTCACAGCGTCTCTAAATGACAGAAACCGCGTCTTTTAGTCGAGCATGTTTAACAGAAATTTCCAGAGCAAAGCTTTTATGGGCAGGTCGGTTCTGCTCCTGGTCCGGTTTCATAAACTAAGGGTCCAGATGTCCTCAGAGGAGAGGAGTCAGCTGAGGCTGACAGAGGAGGAGAGGAGCATCCACAGAGCCCACAGGGAGGCGTGTGAGGTACCAATACTTCATGCATCACATCACAAACAGCCTTCTAACTTTTCATTCATGCAGTGTTGCTCATCATATCTAAGTTAGCTCCATGGTTTATTAATAAAACATCCTTAGTGTTGGTCAGTATTATATGACAGAGTATTAGGGCCAGGTTATTGGTTTTGTTTTTCGAGAATAAAGTTGGAACATTACGAGAATTTTAGTCGTTATATTATGAGAATTAAGGTAAAATATAACGTGAATGACGTCGTCATCACGCAACCCGTTTCAGAAAAAAAGCTTCAAATTAAACATTTCTCAATTATCCTTGTTAAAGGAATAGTACACCCAAAACATGATTAGCCTTCATTTTCTACTCACCTCCATGCTGAACAACACTCTGGAGTACTTTTTTGATATCTCAAATGCATCTGGAGATCTGGGAGACTTCTTGCTGTCTGCTGACATTCAAATAATGGAGGTCTATGGCGCCCGAGACAGAAAGGTCCACAAAAGTCCACAAAAACTTGTCAATATTCCTCCATACTGCTCGTCCAATGTAATCCAAGTGTCCTGAGTGGGTAGCATCCAGAATTTACTCGAAACGAAGTCATTTAGAACGTTTTAGAGCCTAAACAGTAGTGTATAGGATTTCCTAATAGCGCCCCCATGCGCGCTCACGATTCTACGGAAGCCGGCAGACCAAACCAGCGCATTCAGCTCGGCAAAGAACTCATGCTCTTCCTCAACACTGAAGTCCTCAGACATTTTTCTTTCGTTGTTTCTTTCTTTGCACAGGTAAACAGCACATTTCTTCTTCTACGCTTGCATTATCGGCAGACCAGACGCTGAATGCGCACTTCCTTCCGGTTTGGTCTGCCGGCTTCCGTAGAATCGTGAGCGCGCATGGGGGCGCTATTAGGAAATCCTATACACTACTGTTTATGCTCTAAAAACATTCTAAATGACTTCGTTTCGAGTAAATTCTGGATGCTACCCACTCAGGAAACTTGGATTACATTGGACGAGCAGTATGGAGGAATATTGACACGTTTTTGTGGACTTTTATGGACCTTTCTGTCTCGGGCGCCATGGACCTCCATTATTTGAATGTCAGCAGACAGCAAGAAGCCTCCCAGATCTCCAGATGCATTTGAGATATCAAAAAAGTACTCCAGAGTGTTGTTCAGCATGGAGGTGAGTAGAAAATGAAGGCTAATCATGTTTTGGGTGTACTATTCCTTTAACACCACTGGATTCTTCTGTAGGAAAAATATGTCTTGTTGTTTCAAAAAAAAAAAAGAGCCTTCTTTCAAATGAACATTAAAGTGATACCTTATGCTATCTCACACTGGGGAAGATTCTTGGATTACATCAACTGGAAAGAAGCCTGGCTGCTTCCAAATCGATATTTGATAAATAAAAAAACTAAAGAATTCTCATTTAAGATAGAACATTTATCCTACCAAAGTCTTTATCAATAAACACTTAAAAAAACCAAAAACAAACCAAAAAAACATGTCACTTGCAGCTTCTGCTGTAATATTCCTGAAACACTTGTTCATCTATTCTGGAACTGCCCACTTATCCAGTCCTTCTGGTACAACATTTATTACTTAATTAAGAGAAATATAGACAAAGATTTTCTTTTATTATGGAAGACTATACTATTCGGCATTAAGGGAAATTGCAGGGTTCAACCAAATAGATCAAATAAGGTATATGTAATGACTTGATTATTATTATGGCCAAGTTCTTTATACATAAATGTAAATATAGAGGCTCCAAACCATGCATTACTGCTTTTAAGCATGAACTCAAACAATACATTGACACCATACAATTATCAGAAAATAAGAAAGCAATCAAAACTCGAGAAGCCTTTTTCCTTTTTAATCTTCTTGTTTAGAAAGCTGTTTCCCTCTAGTGTTTACTTTTATTTAATAGATGTACTATTTTATTTTATTTTTTTCTTGTCTTTCTTCCTTACTGTTTCTTGTTTTGCACAAAACATGGACATTTACTTGACTGGTAAACATCTGAATTTACACCTGTTGAAAATATCTGTAAAAAAATGATTTTAAGAATACCTATAGTGCAATATGGTTGCTCTATAATGTTCTTTGCAGAAACAAATAAAATTGTATAAAAAAAAAAAAAAAAAGAACGCTTCAAGCTAACTATCGGTAAGAAGAGACTGCAGTTGCTCAGGGGCCCCCGATCTCTTAGGGGCCCTGTCACTGACCCCTGGTTGGCCCCCTACGCAATTGTGGATTAGGACGTCCCTTTGCAGAAAGTAATGGTACGAAAATTTCTTCTGAAACCCACCTGATATTTGATCATCTGACCTTATTTATATCCCAACACATGGCAGATTTCACCATGATGGTGAGCCGTTTAAATACGACACCAACAGCAAAGCAGACAGTGATACTTTTAATTACTATGTTAATAACTGTGTATAGTATTTTACTTTTTACAATACGACTTGGAATTATGGGTAATCCAGAGCGTAGATTAAAGCCATTACCGTTGCATACAATGTTTTAGCAACAATGGATACCAAAATGAGATACTTAAATGGTTTAAGGAGAAAAGAAGAAGCAAAGAAGGGGGTGTTGTACTTCATTTGGGGCCCATCCAGATAATGTTGCTTACGGGCCTATTGTTGTGTCGTTACGCCATTGCTCCAACCAGCGTATAACGGCCAACCAGCACAACCAATCAGCAACCTGAGTCCGCTTTGACATCCTGCCCAATTTGATGCTGGTGTGCGCAAAGATTTCCTTATTTGTCAAACCGATTCCAAGGTGTAACATCACATGTATGGAGGACCAATCCTGCCTTAATTAAAAATACATACAGAAATAAATGAAGGACTTAATGATATAAAAGTGCTTGAAAAAGTACATAATAAAAAGTAAATACTTAGTTGTTTTTTTCAAGTGGAATAGGCAACATTTTGGAAATGTTTAAAGTGAGAGAAATAATGAGCTAAAACAGACGAAGCGCTGATGAAGCATAAATATGTGAAAAGCTTTTATTCAGAGTTTGAATGCAAATGCAGGCCACACTTTTCAGATTCTAGAGGTAAAACTCTTTCTAAGCCATATATCTGAATGATATCTATTACCTAAGCTTTATTGCCATGGTTTCCATTTTTTTTCCAGAACAAAAAACAATCAATTGGTTTATTGATTCTATAATGTGGTTAACCCACCTAGTGGCAGTAAATGTTTTAGTCAGGTGTCTCATATTCACCAGCTTTGTCTCGCTCCTCCATCAAACTGAGGCGCTGAGCTCTGCCCTGCTGACAGCGGTGCTAAGGTGTCGTCTGCGTGCCTTTAGGCTTCTCTGCTGTAAATATTGTGCTTCGGAGTGAGCATGAAGTTGAGGCAAGTTGGCCGCGACCTGAGGAGAGTGGTAGGACCTGGGTGGGAAAAGCACAATACCGTGGGGGGGGGACGGCTATGCCAGCTTCACTATGGGGCCCTGCACCGCCATGTGAAATGACAGGCCGTGTCACCAAAAGGCCTGAGGCTTTTTTTGCTTTTGTGAGCTGTCAAAGCTCACCAACTAGTGCGCCCTCAGTTTGAAACAGACTGAGAGATGACGTTTTCTAACTTCCCAGAGCACGGCAGAGAAGTTCAGTGTGTTTGGCCTGCCAAAGGTGTCGGCATGGCGGCTCAGGAACCAACTAGTCTGAATAAACTGCCTATTTAAGAGGGAATCACAGCTGATTAATCGTTCACCTCCAGAGTCGCTTAAAAGGATTCCACAAAGTAATTAGCTGCATCATGAGAATTAGACTGTTTTACATCTGTTTTTATACGCAGAGGTCAGCCTTTCCCTTTTTACCTTGACCTGAGCCAATCTGTTAGTGTGTAAACGCTCATATCCAGGATCAGTGCCTTTAGTCTGCTCACTTACTGTGTTTATCTTTGTGTAATTAAATGTACTCCATATAGTTATGTATGCAGGGGTCACACACCAGCATGCATGCTTGTTTGTCATGCTAATTAAATAATAATATCTTCATTATGTTCAGGCAAAGAAGCAGATGTATGTGGATCCTTCCAGTGGGTATAAGGTGTTCACAGAGTATGCCCACCTTCAGAGAGGGAAATGCTGCGGCAGCGCCTGCAGACACGTGAGCTCCTTTGTCTCTGTCTTTTTTTTTTTATGTGTCGTCCTTTGGTTTACAGTTATCCTTGTACACATTTAGTTCCCTTTATCCAGCCTCAGCTGTTTTGCTTGGATTGTTTTTTGTTTTTATATTTTCTCCTCTTCCTTTTGTCTTTTATGCTTTTTTTTTGGTAAATTGTTAACTTTAGGGATGTCAATGAGTGTTAAATAATTGAATAAAAATGGTCTATAATTCATGTTGTTGATAACCATGTAGATTTAGTACACACATAGAGAAATTAAACAGTTTTATCTATTTAGCTAACTTAGCTAGAGGTAGAGCTACATAATATCTAGCTCTAGGTATAGGTATACTTCATATTGTACTTCATAGATATAGATATATTTAATTAGATATAGCTTATATCTAATAAAATACAAATTTGATATTCATTAAATTCCAGCTAAATGTTTTGTTCTCTAAATCCTTTAGCTCTGAGTCTGAACAGCAATGGGGAAGACTAAATGAGTTCTCAATAATCATTAATACTGTCTCCAAGGAGGATAAGCTACAATGGGTATTGTTAAAGAATGTCCAAAGTGATTAATCCAAGGGTTTCAATGGAAAGTTAAGTGGAGGGAAAACGTTGGCAAAAAAGGAGATTCACAAGGTCTGGTCTGAGGTCAAAGTTTCAACAAACGGATGTTGGAGATGTGTTTTAATGGTCGCATAAGGGAATAAAAGAGTGGAATATTCCTTTAAGATAAAAAAGTGTCTTGTAACATTCTGCATTTCATTTGCAAATTTAATTGAATTCAAAAATATGTATATAATTAAATGTTATTATGACTAAATAAGTGAATCTATTGTAGATGTTAATAGCTGCTGGAAGAACGATCTCCTTTATCAGTTTGTCTGGCATCAAATCTGGAGAAGCTTAGAGCCCACCATTCTTCTCTTTGCTTAAAAGTTGTGAAAAGATTGGAGTTTTATTTTCCAGCAAGAAACTCTCCCAGAAGCACCAAGTCCTGGTTTAACGACCATGGTATTACTGTAGCAAAGTGGCCAAACTCTAAACAGGCTTTGATTCACTATTCTCTCAAGGTTGTAGTCATCCTACCATAATTGAATTTTTGTGATTCTAAAATGTTCCTTCCACTAAACTTTCCACCTCTATGCTTTGATTACTCTATGTATCGTTAGCAATTAATCTTGTGGCTTACATTTTTAGTGGAGAGTTTTATTGGGATTTCTGAAATCAAACTTTCCTAATTATTCTAATTATTGTATTGATTTTTGCTTTTTATTTATTTGGGAAACAGAATGTTTTGTTACCATTAAGTGTTAATTAAAATTTTAAAAGTTACCAGAAGTAATGAATAAATAAAACATTAAATTTTAGTTTTTAAAACTACTTACTAAAATAACTTAGGTCCTTGATTTTCCTCATTTACAGAAATTACACTTAAAAGAGAAATCAACATGAATGATAATAGTAATAATGCAAGGTCAGCTTCCATTATGAAAAACTATTGAAATGTACAATCAAGATGAAAAAATGCTTCCTATTCTTATATATTTTATCCAAATCTCTCAGCATGAGCTCTTATAGAAGTCATTTTTTAATTAAACATTCTGACTTATTTGTTTTAAAACCTTTTTGAGCTCAGGTCCCGGAACAGCAGAAGAAAAATGTCAGTGGACATTTAAAAAGCTCTTTAAGGGAAGGGAGGTTTATTTATAAGGTGTCAGTCATACTTTTTTTTTCCTAATCTTTACGGGAAGAACAGAGAATGAACAGAGCAGCGAATTGAATTAAACAAAAGCACAAAATACATCAAATAGCAATAGTAAAGAAATTGAAGAATTATATACAAAAAAGAAATTTTAAGAGGCAAGTTTAAAGCTAATGAAAGATCAAAAGATGACAGGACTGGGCTGGTTTACCATCATTTTGGTGTTTTTTGAAGTAAAAAATGTTAAACTGGACAAACCTGAGTGACAATGGTTGATTGTGAAAAGCTCTCCTTAGAAACCCAACGATTTCATTCTCCTTGAATAGGCCTCTTGTCTCCCTACAGTCAGACTTCTGTTGGGTTTGTTGGGATTTTTGCTTTTAATGTCGACCTGATGGATCCAAATGGGCAGAAACCTAAAATGTATTTTGAACCTAATAGGCCGGGGAATTGGTCACCAAGCAGAACACCTGTGTGAAATTTATTAGCCGAATTAGCCTATTGCCGTGGTTAAAGGATTTCTTTCTGTAAATCTGAAAACACAAACAAATGCGGGTATTGTTTAAGCAAAACACATAGAAAGTATGGAGACTTAAAAGTCTGGTAGAGTTTTTCATTCTGTTAAACTGATTTAATGAGTGATTGCTGGAACATCTGGGATGGTGGAATTTTATCAAATTGAAAAAGTATTAGCAGTTAGCATCATAAACTCAGATTTAAATTTAGGCCATTGTTTAGCTGTTTAATATATTAGGCTGTATCTTTCTTTGCATAGATTGGATCATTTCATTCAAAATGTTCTTGGTGAGGACATATATTAATAGATTGTACATAATGTATAGCTCTATAGACTATGCAAAGAGTTGAAATAAGTGGATTTCTAGTTAGAATTGTAATAGTTTTCCCAAACTATGTGCAGCATTAATCATAATGGATCCCAGAGACAGCGGTACATCCCTTCCTGCTTTGTCTCTTCACACCAATCCTTCCTTCCAGACTGCAGCTCCGTGCCTTGTCCCATCTAGTTTGTCCCATCACTGCTCTTCATGGTTTTTATCATGCATGTCCCATGTGATTAAAGGGCAGCTCCGTTTAATTGAGTTATTTTCTCTTGCAGTGTCCATATGGCCAGGTCAACGTGAAGGACCCAGCAATGAAGAAACGCTTCAACTCCCTGTTTTATGTATAGAGCTGTAGCTAGGCAAAGGTAAAATGCTAAATGCCTGTTTGGAATGGAGCCCAGCTCTTTTGGCTTGTCTCCTGTCTGTCGTTATTTAGCCTGCATGTGAGCCTTTTTTTTTTTTTTTTTTTTTTGCTGTGTAATAAATGATGAAATATGGGTAGCGTCTGTGCAATACCTACCTATTATGAATCACAAGCATTCTGAGGATTGTTTTCATTGTCACAAACAGGGAACTCGGGGAGAGGATTTGTTCACTGGACCCTTATGGAAAATATTCTTTTCTGACTTATTTTTCTTAGCTTTATTTTGTGCATATATTCTTTTCTCCAATGTCCACCAGAACGCCCCGAGCTCTGTTTTTTTTTATGTCTCTTTAAGAGTATTTAAGAGTTTTGTGGTATTCCCCCCCTCAGATGCATTTACAAGGGTTGTGGGAGTATGGAGATGAAAACTGAGAGTGCATTTTAGATCTTCGCCCTCAAGATAAAGGGCATAGAAGCGAACGTAACTGCAGATAGTCAGATGAAGCTCTTTTGCTTCTGCGTCTCTCGTTATCTTTCCTTGCTCCCAAACGTACAAACATGCATGAATATTAGCATCATTTGCACTCCACAAATGCTTCACTGAACTGTCTACCTTTGACTGATGCGCTCTGTAGTTAAAAATGGGAAAGGGAGGGGCGGGGGGGAAGGGTCAGCTCTCGCATTTGGCTGCACTGCTTTCTGCACCACTTGATGGAATCAGGTTGTTAGCAAACATGCCATGGACATCAACAGCAACCCTCCCCACCGGACGCACAGCTCAGCCTCCTGGCAACACTTGGCTACAGCGCCGCTCCCCGCGGCTGCTCTCCTCAGCTGCAGCCCTAATGAACTCCTGGGCCTTCTCATCCCAGGACTGCAATAGATCAGCTCATGTTCGCCAGCATGCTGAGACGCACACATGCATAGGGATGCTCCCTCCATCAGAGCGCCCTGTGGCTCCTAATAGGCCAATATAGAAGAAAGGTTGCGCTTAACGCAGCACTTTGCAGCCCAAAGTAATGGTAGATGGAGAGGTCAAGTGCTCACATAGCTCCACCTGTGCGTGCAGGAGGCATCAGGGAAAGCTGCGCCGCTTGATTTGTGAGTGCATGTGGGAAGGCAGCGCGGTACCTCCAGGCTCACTCCTCTCTCTCTCTCTCTTTTGAAGCTGCCACACACACTCCACCGTCTCCGCCTGATTGGGCGTCGTGATGAGAGGATGTGTCTGCCGCCGCGTCCACAGCTCTCCACGGCAGGTGGGTCCCCAAAGTCTGGCGCTTACACTAATCGGGCAAAAAACCCTGCGAGCGGCTACAAGGAGATTCATGATCCCAACAGTGCTGAGGAGGACAGGTTCTGGGGACGCTTCGTCAGGCGGGATGAGAGGCGGGTTTGTTTGGTGTTCATCTAAACCGAGGCAGCGGAGCGTGCGGCGGCTGCAGCGGGACGGTGAAGGTGTCACACTCGTCAACTACACACACCTACCTGGGGCCCGCTCGCCTGCTGCAGCTCCGTGGGGTTTTTAGCCCCGGGACTTGTCTGTCACATTAAAGTAGACGCATTGCCATTCAGGGCCTCGGCGGTCCCGCAGCCTGACCATGAAATAGGCCAACTTTCATGTCTGCCTCATCCCCTCCGCTTCCTCCCTTTCAGTGGTGCCACCATTTGCCCCCCCCCTCCCCATCAGGCTCTTAACTAAGCAGTTGGTGACTGCGACACAGCAGCAGGAGTTATCCCCTTTCCCAAACTATCCTCTTATTAATGACTCCGAGCATTAAACACAGCCTGCGTCAAGATGTGTAAGGCTTTTTAATTAAAGACTTTTACTCTTCAGTTAAAGCCTTTTACATTTAATGACCCATTTTCCACCCTTAATTGATCTTATTTTAGTTTTAATGTAATGTTACACTGAAATACAACATACCACGTTAATCTATGCCTATGATGTGTTGCATCTTTTATGTTCTGTTATAAATAGCGGTGAAAAGGTTACAGTTTTATAGCAGGTTGTCTATTTTGATGGTCAGTACACATTTTTCACTTTTTGTATTTTTATTCTAAAATAAAAGCTTTCTATGCCTGCTGAATCCTCACATGGCTGCAGAGTTTGGTAATGGTCGCTGGCCTAAAGGCACGGTCCAGGTCATCAGTCTGTAACAGGCCAATGCAGAGACTCAAAGCTGGAGTACCCAGAGAGAGCCCATCCATACACAGGCGGAGCAGGCAAACCCCATGCAGGAGTCTCTACAACCTTTTGGATTTAATTTACAGGATGATGTTGCTAAATCATGCTGCCTGGACTTGAACACACTGGAAGAAATAGATGTTGATAAGAATCAGGTTTTCTTGTCTATACAAAGTTTATAGGATTATATATTCATACATAATGTACATATTTTGTCAAAAAATATTAAATGAGCAGTAAAATCAAATGTTCAGATTACTTTTTTTTCTTTATTAATTTAAGTATTTACGGCCTGATGATGCTTTAAATCAAAGGTGATTGTCCAAAAGTGGAACGTACAATAACTTAATATAAAATAAAGACTATTTTACTAAATCTTTTAACCTGAGCATACATAAATATGTTGCCTGGAAGATAGAAAGGAATTGAAATAAATACTAAAGAAAATCCTATTATAAGCCTGTATTTATATAACTAGATCTCTAAACAACTCCCTTATTATCACATTTAAACTTGACGAATTGGGAACAGAAAAAAACAAAAATCAAAGTCTGACTGAATCAGTTTAACTTTTTTTTTTTTCATCAAGACACCTGAGCTGCTTTAATGAGCTCCGATGTTCTCTTTATCCAGGATGTTCCTCTACCTTGCTTTGGTGAACTCAATTCAGCAAAAACGTACTTTTTAATTGATAAAAGCTTGTCTAATTTTTCAGTTGGGTCCTCACAAAGCAAAACTGATCCCGGCCCTATTTTATTTTCTAGCTAATAAATAAAATATTTTCATCTACCCCTTGCAAAGCATCGCAAACCACTAGGGGTGCGCGTAACCCCGGTCAGGAATCACCGCTTTAAATGATTAAAACAATAGCTGATGTGCTGGATCTTTTCTTAAAGCACCGCTTCCCCCTAAGTCAACTTTTATTTTGCTGATAAACAATATAAATGGATGTCTTACAGTAAATGGCATTATTTTGGCAATTTACTGCACATTTGATAAAATCTTTGCGTTGTATCTAAAAGCGTCTGTTTGATACCTTCCTAAGGTTAAAAGATGGTTACTGCAGCTGATTTTTGCTATTTTCTGAGCCTGGGATGTGATGTAATTAAGGAGAACTTACATCAGCAGCTTCACCCTGAGCAGCTGTGGTTTGTTCAGGAAGTGACAATAAGTTCAAATATATTTTAAAAGTGTGAAATGGAAATAAGTGTTTGTCTCCTTTTTAAAAGTGGTATATTATCAAAATTTGATCAAAATATGTCTACATCATCTGCTATATTTATTGCCATATCTGAAATGTTATGAAAAAAAATGTGTGGAAGAAAAATAAATCTCATGAAAGGAAATAAGTGAACACAAGGGAGCTAAGGATGCAGTGGAACGTAGCAAAGAGCAAGAAGGTGACATTTAGACCAAACTTGATGTTCAACAAAAGAAGAACTAGTGACAACAGAACCTTCAGGATGACTGAGCTCATAAACTGAAGACGTACAACGAGAAGGAGGAATCCTGGAGAAATTAGCTCTCAGCACAAACAAACAGATGCCTGCTGGGATTTAGGAGCGCTCTGTGGTGAACCAGTCTGCCTCTAATTTCCCTTGGTGTTAAAGAATTGTACTGATTGTGACAGAAGCTTTATTTCTACCAGCGTTCAGGTTAGCTCTGACCAAATGTTACTCTGATGTGCAAATGAATGGATCGCGAAGATGATCTCATTCTCCATTGGGATTATTAAAGTATTTTGAACTGAATTTATCTAAATTCTCCCAGCAACTGTTGTTAGGATAGTTGACATGCATGCAGTGGCACAGTTTCACTTTTTTGCACATAATCAGCCAGTTTTAGCTGTGATGAATAATCTAGCTGCTACTCCACTGACAATGCTCATCAGCCTGCAATTAGTTTCTAACAACAATTTATAATCTGGCCTTAAAAGATTAGGCTAACAATTCAAACTGTTAGGAGCAAAAGTTCCAATTCTCCTTCATTCGACTGAGACACAACATAAAATATTTCTAATCTTAAAGGAAAAGTCTGGTCAGCAAGGAATGATCAATGGATCATTATCTATACTTAAAACTAATATGTTCGCTATGATTTAATGAATTTAGTGTTAATCAGTAAAAAAATAAAATAAAAACAATAATTTTCACCCTGATCACAGAGTCTGGGAGCGACCATTTTTGCCCAAATATAGTAACACCTCATTTCTGACATCTTCCAGCAGTGGGCTAAGCCTAGCGCCATTCTCCCTGCTTTACAAGAAAAATCAATGGGAAGTAATGGACACATCTGCAATCATCAATTATTTTGAGAGGATTTCACTTTTGAAATTCGCGACAGCTATAGTTACAGTTACAATGCCCACGTGCATGGCAGCTGGATGTTGTAATATGTTGTGTAAAAGTGAAAAAAAAATAGTTATTTCACCTTTCCGATTCATGATCCTCCACGGGTTTGTTATTGGATTTCCAACTTGAACAGTGAAGATTGACAAGGGAACTTCTGGCCAGAGAAAAAACTCGTAATATTTAGCCAATATTTCAAGGAAGAATGTTTTCAAGATGACTTGGATAATAGCGCGTTGTTTCAAACAGCAGATAGAGCACTGGGACTTGTTCAACAGCCGATACCGCACCATGACGTCACAAACCGGTAGGTGGCTGTAGTGTTCTTTGACAAACATGGATGTCTCCAGTAAATCGCATTTAAATGAAATTACTCTTAATTAAAAACACTTATCATTTATTCAACAGTATGTAAAAAAAAAAAAAATGTTTAAAGTACTTTCAGAAGTCTGAATTCTGAATATGACTGGACTTTTCCTAGCTTTACTTACAGGTGAACCATTTTGAGAGATAATTTTTAATGATAAGGAACCAATGAAAAATATGGTCTGCACATTTTCCTTTACTGTGTTAGATTTAATGGTCTGGCTGTTGACCTTCTGCTTCAGCTATCTGTTTTGACCTTAGCAGGAACAGTGTTGCATCATCTCCCCTTATTTTTTATATTTACTTTTGATGATCCTGGGGACAAAAACTGTTTCTTCCAGCAAGGAGACAATTTTTAGTGGTTAAAAAAAAAATCCCACCTCTTGAACCTTTTACTTCACATTAAACAGAAACTAGCCTAATTGATTTATTTTGAAAGATTTGAATCATAGTTAAAGAAAAAAAAAATTATTGAATAAACTGATGAAAGCGTGGTTGTTTTTTCCTTGGTTTAGTTTCTGTGGATAGTTTGTGAGATAATCCTAAAGGTTAACTGTGAAGAACATGCATGCACAAGTATGATTCTACAGGGATGCTTGTCATTATATACCCACGGGCCTTATGCTATATGATCACACATCAGTTTGAATATGTTAACTTATTAGTACTTAAAGCGTTGGCTAATGACAAAGAGGAAATGCCCTTGAAATGGGAGCTTCAAAAAGATAACCCCATATTCCCCATTATGGTTCAGCGTCTTGCTTCCATTCCAACAAGATCAGCCATATGGAGTGGTCAGCACTATTCATGGATCTTTATCCAATAAAAGCTTTGTTCTTAGCAACTAAATATTAGTGAAGAGTTTTATATATATATATATATATATATATATATATATATATATATATATATATATATATATATATATATATATATATGTATATATATATATATATATATATATATATATATATATATATATATATATATATATATATATATATATATATATATATATATATGTATGTATGTATGTATTTTTTTTTCTTTTTTCCAGCAATAGTTTTCAGACTGGAACTCTTCCATAGATGCAGTCATGAACTCTGATTCAGTGTTTAAAACATTTAATAAAGCCCTAGTAATTTTCTATCCTTTGCAGAGTGGTAGGTATCAACTACTTTTATTTTGTTTTATAATTTCTTGAATTAATTCGGATCAGAGCATATGTTCCTGATTGAAACTCTGTCCTACACTGCAAAAAAATGTAAATCTAAGTAAGTCAATTTTTCTTAAAATAAGTACATTTTTTCTGCAATTAAGCCG